GTGGAAACTAGGCCAAATTTCAAAGTATGAAAAGAAACAAATAGCACAAGTATGTAGAGAAAGGCCAAGACACAAAACGAGATTAAACTAACTAGAAACAAAGGGTAACAAGAAAATATTCTACAAACACACTAGAAGCAAGAGGAAGACCAAGGACAAGGTAGGCCTGTCACTCAATGGGGGGGGACGGGACGGACAATAACAGAGAATGTGATAATGGCAGAAGTGCCAAATGATTTTTTTGTTTTAGTTTTCCCCAAAAAGCTTAGTAGCAATTAGACACCTAACAGTGAATGCCAGTTAAAATGAGGCAGGATCAGAGGCTAAAATAGGGAAAGAACAAGTTAAAAATTAGAAAAGTTAAATGTCTTCAAGTCATCAGGGCCTGATGAAATACATTCTAGAATACTCAAGGAGCTGAATGAAGAGAGATATCTGAGCCATTAGCGATTCTCTTCAAAAACTCATGGAAAATGGGAGAGATTCCAGAGGACTGGAAAGGGGCAAATATAGCACCAATCTATAAAAAAGGAAATAAGGACAGCCCAGGGAATTACAGACCAGTCAGTTTAACTTCAGTACCCAGAAAGATAATGGAGCAAATAATTAAGCAATCAATTTGCAGACACCTAGAAGATAAAAGGATCATAAGTAACAGTCACCATGTATTTGTCAAGAACAAATTGTGTCAACCAACCTAATAGCTTTCTTTGATAGGGTAACAAGCCTTGTGGATGGGGGGAAAGTGGGGATGTGGTATATCTTGACTTTAGTAAGGCTGTTTATGCGGTCTAGTATGACCTTCTCATAAACAAACTAGGGAAATACAACCTAGATGGAGCTAGTAGAATATGGGTGCATAACGGGTTGGAAAACCATTCTCAGAGAGTAGTTATCAGTAATTCACAGTCAAGCTGGAAGGGCATTTCAAGTGGGGCCCCGCAGGAATCAGTGATAGATCCGGTTCTGTTCAATATCTTCATCAATGATTTCGATAATGGAATAGAGAGTACACTCAAAGTTTGCAGAGGATACCAAGCTGAGAAGGGTTGCAAGTGCTTTGGAGGATAGGAGTAAAATTCAAAATGATCTAGACAAACTTCAGAAATGGTCTGAAGTAAATAAGATGAAATTCAATAAGGACAAATTCCAAGTGCTCCACTTAGGAAGGATCAACTGCACACATACAAAATGGGAAATGACTGGCTAGGAAGGAGTATTGTGGGAAGGGATCTGGGTGGCATAGTGGATCACAAACTAAATATGAGTCAACAGTTAAACACTGTTGCAAAAAAAAGCAAACATCATTATGGGATTAGCAGGAGCATTGTAAGCAAGACACGAGAAGTAATTCTTCTGCTCTACTCCACGCTGATTAGGCCTCAACCGAAGTATCGTGTCCAGTTCTGGGCACATTTGAGGAAAGATGTGGACAAATTGGAGGAAGTCCAGAGAAAAGCAACACAAATTATTAAAGGTCTAGAAAATGGGATCTATGAGGGAAGATTGAAAACATTGTGTTTGTTTAGTCTTGAAAAGAGAAGAGAAGACTGAGGCGGGACACGATAACACTTCTCAAATACATAAAAGGTTGTTACAAGGAGAGGGGTTAATTATTCTTGTTAATCTCTGAGAATAGGGCAAGAAGCAATGGGTTAAAATGGCAGCAAGGGAGGTTTAGGTGGGACATTAGGAATAATTTCCTGTCAGGGTAGTTAAACACTGGAATAAATTGCCCAGGGAGGTTGTGGAATCTCCACCATTGGAGATTTTTAAGAGCGGGTTAGAAAAACACCTGTCAGGAATGGTCTAGATAATATTTACTCCTGCCATGAGTGCAGGGGACTGGACTAGATGACCTCTCAAGGTCCCTTCCAGTCCTATGATTCTATGATATTGTTGGTCCCATCACAGAGAATCCACTGCCACAGGTTAGCTCACTATCCCCAACACTGCGGGAGGGTAAAAAGAGAAAATTGCGATCTCTCCCAGAGCAGTCAGAATCTGCTGTTGTTGCCCACCTGTCAAGGGGAAAGAAAAAAGGGTTTTCAAAGGGAGACACGTTTTGGAGGTAAGAAAGGAAAAAACTGGGTGTTGTTAGAAAGCAAGCAAGCAAACTAATAATTTCTGGTGGGGGAGAAAGGGAAGAAAGAGGTCTCACATTAGAAGCAAGTAGGGTATGAGGAAAAAATGATACATGAGTAAAGTATCATGAAGTTAGTATCAAGTAGGCAACCAGTGGCTCTCACATCTCAAGCAAACTGAATCTGGCTCTTCCATATTCCACAACAAACCAGAGGCAAGAGTGGGGGTATTTTTTCTTCATTTTGATACCCCAGACCCATTATCAGCTGAATACTCTCTCTTCATTGGATTTCTGAAATGGATTTCATATCACCCCACAACTAAATGTCATTTTCAGGTAGCACAAAAGGAGTGCACTGACGCCACTTCTCCACCATCCATTATGACACACATACTAGAAGGTAGGTCAAACAAGGTTTGTATTTAGAATAGCTAAAATGGAACACTAAAGCCCCAATGCTGCAAACAGACATTTGCTTAACTTTACTCACATGCTTGAAGTTAAGCATGTGCATATTCACACAATAGCGGCCTAAGAAGTACTGAGGACTGAGTTTCTGACTTTTGTAAGGTCTGAGGTCTTTTTCTGCAGCAAAAGCAGCAGCAAGAGTAAAAACAGCAGCTACGACCTAAGTTGCAGAGAGCCACATCCTCAGGTTCCATCAATTGCATCAGAACAGTGTAATATCAGGCTGTTAAGAAGGTGTTCCTGTCCTGATCGTACCCACTATCACCAGATAAAGAAACAGATGTTAAGATGTTTAAAGAAAACTTTGATAACTTTCTGTCTGGCAAGAAACCACTTATCAACAGTTGTGATTGTAAAAGCCATACTTCTCTATTGTTTTGCTATTGTTCACTTGTATGCTCCTGTCTGGTTTTTAATTAGTTCTGTCTGCTGTGTAAACTGGTTTCGCAACATTTCAATTGACTCTTGTACGTAGGGGGTAATGGGCTAGGATTGGTTAAAGAATTGTTTCGTAATGTGCTTGGATTGCTTTGTAGTATTTTAGTTTAAAATGATTGGTTAAAGTATAGCTAAGTAGGACCCAAGTTTTAACTATATAAACTGGGGTCCAAAAGGAAGTTCTTTGGAACCTAACTCCAAAACACAGCCCAAGATGAGAGTGGCCAAAACCATCACACCCCGCCGACCATACCATACAGAAGCTGGAGCCCCGGAAAACCTGATCCTGACTGGCCACCAGGAAAAGTTTGTCCCCCTTATTGGGAGTGGAGAGCACTGTATGCTTAGTGTCTGTATTCTGTTGATCAACTGTTAATAATTATATGTTAAGAATATTACTGTGTAATGCTGTTTCACTGGGAAAAGGTCCCGCAAATCAGCAGAAGGTTACGCCCTGTGCCCAGGACAGGTAAGAGTGAATGCCTTATGTCCTGAGCCCAGGACAGGAAAGGATGGGATTCCTAAATTTATAGGGTTATGCCTGGAGCCCCCAGTATGGTAAAGGTGGGGTGCCCTAGATTCTGTGTGTAACACCTTATACCGTCCACAATCAGTTACTCTAGCAAAGACTTGTCCCTTCATTACTAGTCAGTTTTAAATTGCATGTTAAGTATTAGTCAGGCAATGGGATGTTTCTAATAAATTAGTAACTGCTGGGAAGTTGAAAGCCTAATTAATTATTTCAGTATTTTAATCTTTTTCCTCAGTGTTATTCTTTCATAATGATTTTTTTAAGAAGTGAAAATGGTGGTAACACTGTATCAGCAAATTTAAGAGACTGCCTGTGGTGCAATCGCAATTCTTTTTGTTTTCAAAAATTTTGCATTATATTACTAATAAGCAACAGACTCAATACAATTAAAAGCAAGTAAAGGAGGTGAGGGACAACACTTAAGTTAGACAACTGATTTGTGAAGCTGTAATAAATAAATAAAAAGTCCATTCTTTGAGAAAGGATATAAAGAAAGTCTCCCAACTGGATATTAAAGTCTTTTTAAAATGAAAGGTTTTTTTTTCCTGGTCTGAGGAAAACCCAACTTTAAGAACAAACTTGAAGTTCACACTTCTGAGACAGCCAGAGACCAGGTGAGTTTGACAGCTAGAGACCATGTTTGATTTCTAGTAGTACAGGAGGGAAAGAAGGTCACTAAAAGTGCCATTAAGATGGCATCCCTCACTAAGGCAGCTCTTATTGCCAAGCAAGAATGCAGTCTGATGACACCAGACAGAAGTAACAGAAGAAAAAACATTAGCCACTGAAGTTCTATTATTATAAAGTTCTGTAATCTTAGACTATCCGAGAAAAGACTGACAACTGTTCAGTTAACCAAGAGCATGAGAACTGCAGAACCTGGCTAACAACTTTGAAACCTTTCTGATTTACAGTACTTTCTAGTAGGAAGTTACCTACTTATATCAAATTATAACAGCAACTTTCCTATTATTGGTTTTATTTATGATTATTATATTTAAACCCTTACATAAAAATGCAAATAATGTTCCTTTGTAACTAGAGTTAGTTATTTCTAATTTATAATCACACTGGAGTTTTTCTCCAAATTTAAGCTCAGTTGCATGGAACCTGGGAAGTTGAGCCAGATTTTCTTTTTAAATTGCAGAGAAAAAAGACTTTGCAGGTCAAGCAACCTTAAATACACACAATTCACAATACGTGCATATTAACTTCACTTAAAAGTTAAATTGTAAATATAGCTGCATTTCAAAAAAATAATGTTCATTGTGTACATTTAACAATTTTAACAATGTTTGAAAAGGCTCAAAATACCAGCATTGGACAATTTTCTGGGGATTTCGTTTTCAGAAAAATTGAATTGCAAATTACACAAGCATTCAAAACTTTTTTTAAAAACAATTACTCACAATAAGTTTACAGAACATTTAGAAGTGTGAAGTTTATACACAAGACATTAAAATCACATTAGATTACCTTTTTATGTTTTGCTCCACGGAAGTGTGACTGAAGACTTATAGAACTCATACATGGAACTTTACAAACCTAAAGAAATTAATTACATTCAGTTACGCTACAGCCAACTTTAGTATAAAAATACTGTTGTGCAAACACAGCAAATGGGCCTGCAGTTATGGATGAAAACCTTTCATTATATTTTACTATTTTAAGAAACTGGTGAAGGCTTCTTTGAGGAAGGCTTGTGTGAGAAATTTAAAGTAAGACACCAGTGAGTGACAAAGAGTAGTACATAACTAATCACATTAAGCCTACTTAGACATCTGGAAAGTGAAGATATTAAAAATAGCACCAGATCTGTGTAAACTGTTTAAGAAGATTTAAAAAAAAAAAAAAAAAAAGAGACTTCTGTCAATGAACTAGTTTCTGGAATCCCCCCCGATTTTTGACAGTATCCTTTTAACTCAGTAGTTTCCACACTGTTCTGCAGAGTATTGGTGGGTGGTCTGTGCTGAAATAGATGATCACATCATGCAAAGTCATGGAGAAGGAGCTGGAAACAAGAAGGACTGTAACACCAACACAATAATTATCATAAGATCTCACAGTATCATCAGTACAAGGTCAGCACAAAAATTGTTTACTGTTAACACAAAACAATGACTGAAGGAAGACATCAAACCTATTATTTCCTGCTGTTTTAAGGAACAGCAGCTCAAACAAGCAGAAAAAAGTGGGCAGTTGAGGCCTTGGTTTCTTGCTTCTAGAAATCAGAGCTGGATACATATATGCTGGATCTCTTCCTCCTGATGCAGATACTCTGCCTCATTTTGTTGGAGGTGATGCCTCACCCAAGGAACTCCATCAGAGCGGTAGAAAACGTGTAAAAACTTCACATAATTCAGCAAAATCAATTTATTGGATTTAGCCTGACACTTTGCTGCATTTTAACACCCTCACAGGACTCTATAGAGCAGTGGTCTCCAACCTTTTTACGCCCAAGATCACTTTTTGAATTTAAGGGCAACCCAGGATCTATGCCACCCTTTCCCCAAGGCCCCTCCCCACACTCACTCTCCCCCCCCTACTCACTTTCACTAAGCTGGAGTAGGGGGTTGGGGTTGGGGGGGGGTCTCTGGGTTGGTTTTGGGACAGGGGGGTTGGAGTGCAGGAGGGAGTTCGGGGTGCAAGCTCTGAAACGGGGCTCAGGGCTGAGGTTCGGGGAGCTGGCTCCAAGATGGGGCTCAGGGCTGGGGTGCGGCCTCCCACCCGGTGGAACTTACCTTGGGCAGCTCCCGGTTGGCAGCGCAGCAAGGCTAAGGCAGGCTCCCTGCCTACCCTGGTCCCATGCCGCTCCCGGAAGGGGCCAGCGCGCCGCTAGGGGGAACGGGGGGCACATGGCTCCGTGTGCTGCCCCTCTCTGCAAGCACTGCCCCCGCAGCACCCATTGGCCACAGCTCCCCATTCCCAGCCAATGGGTGCTGGGGGGGCAGTGCTTCCAGAAAGGGGCAGTGTGCCGAGGGAGAACCCTGTCCCTGAACCCCGGGGGCTGCACTGGCTTCTTCCAGGAGCAGCGTGAGCCTAGGACAGGCAGGGAGCCTACCTTAGTGGCAGCCCTGCTTCACCACCAGAGATCACAATTGACCGGTTGGTGACCACTGCTGTATGGTCAACATGGACACTAACACTACACAAATAATACACAACCAGGACTCTATTCTGGGTCAGTTGAGGCTGAAGCCTTTCTAAGTTGGATTCTTATCTGATTAAGGAGGAAGTTTGAAGGACACAAGACGACTTCAGGCACTCTCTAGGATTCAAGCGTTCATTGCTGAGGAAATCTTGCAGTCAAGTCAACTGTGGACCTTTTTTAATCAGAATCATACTTATCCTTGAAAGACTCCAATTATCTCCAATTTCTCCTGAAGCAACTTGGGTACAAGTATAAAAAAGGATCGCATGTTACAAAATAGATGCCTTAATCCAGAAAGTGGAGAAGCCATCCTAGACCTATTTTCTAATTAGGAGGAAATGAATTGTGCTAACACTGATCACAAGCTACTTCAGTTCAGCACCTGAAGAAACAGGTTCATGGTACACAGCAGGACCAGGTTATTAAGATCATACCCACTCACTTTAAGAAATTAAATATGGGGCCTTACTAGAAGTGCTTAACACTCTGTTTTTTTCAAACACAGCTGGGGCAGGGATCAACACTTAATTACTCCTGTTGTCACAAATCTAATTTTATGTTTGCTTTCTGACTCTCTTGCAGGCTACCAGCGTCATCCACATTAGTGAAAAGTTACCTGGTTCCTGCACTTTGACCCCTAGGGGCTAGCAAGTGAAGATGATAATACTGCACCATATAACAGACCTACATTCAGGAGTAAAATGTACTCACTATATCACACAAAACTATGTTATATAATCCATACTTTCAAAAACCACCAAGAAATCCACTCACCTCACAATAAAATATCTTTTTCTCAGATTCTTGTTTAACATCCTCTGGTTTAGCATCATCCACATTGGTGGTGCTCATCTTGTAAAAATGGATCAGAGCACTTTAAAAAAAAAAAACAATGAATTCACATCTTATTTACACATTTATTTTTCAGCTTAAAACTAGTAGTGGAAGAATACCTATATGTAAATTATTAGAAACTTGAACTGTAGAAAACATCTGAATAGAACCTCTAACACAAAGCAAAAGCATTTTCTACGGTGGTCTTAACTATGAAATATTTTACCACAAAAACAAGGATGAATATTTAGTTAAAGTCCAGTAAGCTACTGAAAGCAATTTGATCCTACTGTATCTTAGACACATACGCTTCTTTTTAGTTATCTGTAGTTTTATGGTTTACAAACTTTTACATGTCGAAACAAGGAACACAATTAATTGAATTCATTTTCTTTAAAATGCTTAACTGCTCTATCACCACGCTTGCTTCAGTTATATCGGGGCTTTTCCGAACACAGAAGATACACCAATTTTTTAGTTAAAGGTGTGACAGTTAAACCTATTTAGTTAAAACTGGTGCCACTTTGTGTCTGGACACTCATCACACGTGCAAGCTAAACTAATAAAAAACAGGTTTAAATTGATGATCTAATATGTACCATTCAAGTGTTAATGTCAATATGATAAAATTCTAAGTTTGCTCACTAGAAAAAGTACATTACCTATTGCTATACTAGCTGAAAATTTATTTCCGTTCCATGTAAATATCTGTGGTGCCTATGTTTTTCTATATCTCACATTCAACCTGTTTTCACACAACTGTGTGCCAAATTATCTGCATTTTATTCTGTTTTATTGACATCAGTAAAAGTATCAGGTATGCGTTACAGTTAAGGTGATCACCTGCATAACTGGCAATTCCTAATAGCTTTCAAGCCCAAGGCAGAAAAACAAATTATAAACAGAAAGTTATAACTTCCCCTGTTTCTTTTCAACTCCAATCCTTTTACACTTTCCTCTATATTAGAAGTGAGGTAATGATTTGTAAATACCACTATTACTCAGCATTAATAAATTTAGCCATAATTAATCAGGCTTAATAAATCCTGTCTTCTCAATGAAGAAACATTAACAAAGTCAATTCAGAAGTACACTGAACAACTAGATTTGAAACATTTTCACTGTTTGATGGTTAACAGAAAACAAGAATTATCATTCATTCACTGAAACCAAAGCTAACCAATCTGCCAGGGGACACCTCCCTGCCCCATGGCAAGGAAAAACTAGTTAGTTGGAGATGGTGACAGTTACCTTCCACCACCATGGCAAGGCTGGGACCAAGATATCAGTCCAGCACATTTGAGTGGTGGCAGAGATCACAGGCATCCCCCCACAGGACTGTGACAGTGGAGAGTGGGTAGCTACACTACAGCAGGTGCATGGGGCACCACTATTACCATGGTTCTCAGGAGGCGTTAAGCAGGCCCAGAGTACCAGCACAGAGAACAAAGTGCTGGGGAGTGGAGAGTGTCCTCCTTTCCAACCCCTGAGTTATACAGTAATATAAAAAGGCCATAGTCACCAGCTGGGGGAGAGAAGGAGAGTAGAACTCAGAGCCTCAGGCCAGAAAAGATGAGAGGGTGGCAGAGGAACGTGGGTGCTGCAGAGACAAGAGCCACTATTAGCTACGGTCCCTCCCATGCCCTGCCCCCCAAGCCCTTCTCCCCCATACCTTATCTCCCAGCCCCTCGCCCGTGCCCTGCCCCCAAGCCCTTCTCCCCCATACCTTATCTCCCAGCCCCTCGCCCGTGCCCTGCCCCCAAGCCCTTCTCCCCCATACCTTATCTCCCAGCCCCTTCCCCGGGCCCTGCCCCCCAAGCCCTTCTCCCCCATACCTTATCTCCCAGCCCCTTCCCCGGGCCCTGCCCCCCAAGCCCTTCTCCCCCATACCTTATCTCCCAGCCCCTTCCCCGGGCCCTGCCCCCCAAGCCCTTCTCCCCCATACCTTATCTCCCAGCCCCTTCCCCGGGCCCTGCCCCCCAAGCCCTTCTCCCCCATACCTTATCTCCCAGCCCCTTGCCCGTGCCCTGCCCCCCAAGCCCTTCTCCCCCATACCTTATCTCCCAGCCCCTCGCCCGTGCCCTGCCCCCAAGCCCTTCTCCCCCATACCTTATCTCCCAGCCCCTTCCCCGGGCCCTGCCCCCCAAGCCCTTCTCCCCCATACCTTATCTCCCAGCCCCTTCCCCGTGCCCTGCCCCCCAAGCCCTTCTCCCCCATACCTTATCTCCCAGCCCCTCGCCCGTGCCCTGCCCCCAAGCCCGGCTGAACTCCCTCCCAGCCCAGGCAGATGAGACTAGGGCGCCCCAGACCCACTCTCGCTCTCTGCCCGCTCCACTCACCGGCCGTCGCCGGGACGCTCCCGAGGAAGACACCAGCGACAGTGCCTCAGGGAATGCGCAACTACATCCGGGACCCCAACTCAAAACGTCACTTCCGCCCCTAACGGCGGGGCCCGCGAGACTGAGCACGATTATGGTACATGAGACGGAAGGGGGGAGGGATTGACAGCCGGACTCCCTGCCAGCCAATGAGAGAGAGTCTTACAACCAGCCAATAGGAGGGGGAGAGAGGAAGGCTCTAACCAATAGCAAGAGCGGCATCTCAGGCTGCTGTTTGTTGCGGCAACAGTTGGGGCTGGGGTGGGGGCGGGTCCAGGGTGCCTTCCCGTCGCGGGGCCCGGAAGCGGGTCTGTCTGTGGCCGCCCGCTCCGCATCGAGACGCCCCCATGCCCAGGCGGGCTCCGGGCGGGGCGGCGGCCTGCACTGGTGTGTCTCTGCCCAGCCGCTCTGACGCAGACCGGAGACGGGGGCCGCAGCTCTGGCTCGCTGGGTCCCCCTCGGTAACGCTGTACCGGGCGCGCCCAGCGGGTTTTCGGTCACTGCTGGCTCGGCTGGCCAGGCTCTGCTGCCCTTTCCCACGGAGCCCTTCGGGTGGGCAGGGGTCTTGCTCTCCTGACGCGCTGCTCCCCCGTGAGGGGGTGCGCACGCTGGCCCCGCTTTACTGACAGCCCTTTGGCGCAGAAACTGCCCTCGGTGATCAGACACGCACAGAAATCGGTTCTGGGCAGCCCTCCTCAGAAAGTGTTCAACCTTATTACATTACTATTGCTGTGTGTGCTGGTATACAAATATGGCCTGGCTCCCTGCCAGGGGATAGAAAAGCAACAAAGACGTCTCAGATTCATCTTGCCCTTGTGCAGTTTGAATTTCCCACTTAGTAAGAGCTGTTGTTTTGCTAATTTGACTGTAGACTTTTTATTCTTTCAAGAGAAAAGATACATGAAAAATAATAAATACGTTTTCATTTAAAAGTAAATGTTTATCATCAAATGCTTAATTTTACATTTCTCAACGGTATTAAATGCAAACTATAATGAAAGAAATACACATGAAAGCTCTAAAAGTGGTGAAAAAGTACAAAATTACATTCTAGTACACATATTAAAAATGAAGAAAATATAGTAACTTCATTTTAATGAAACATTTTTTCTTTCTGAAGAAAATTCCAAGATAAAAAATATACATTTTCTTGCCTGCTTTTAATTAGCTTGCTATTGATACAGTATTTCAGTCCATTACAATTGTTGTATGCAAAGCAGCATAATATATACTATTTTAAGACAACATATTATCAAAAGATTACTGTTTACAGTTCATTTTCTTACAAGAGTTTAATTTTCCCAGACTAAACATTTAAGGCACAATTTCAAAAGTCTGTTCTACCCATATTTACATGTGTAAATAGGTATTGTCCAGAGAAAATGATTAGATGGTATAGTTACCTGAATTTTATACGTAAATGCCCATTTTTGCACACAAATGTGTTTCTTGGCATCCACAAATTGGTACTTTTACAAATAATGCGAGTGCAGTTAAGGATCCTTTTTTCAAAATTGTATCCCTGAAAATCTGAGACCATGTGATACCCTTTTGAAGAAAAAAGTGCTTAGGCTAAAAATGTTGGTAGAAGGCTATGTTCTGTGGATATGATCTTGCTCCACTGGGTCTTTTGAATTCACTGGTTGTGGGATTGGACCTTATTATGGCAGCAGAACTTCTACCAAACTGTATCATTCTTTGATGATCTGTGTGAGTGTTTTTTGTTTTGTTTTATACCCGTAAGTAACATGTAGCCAAAAGATAGTCTCTTATGTATGGCTAGATTTAAACACTTTTTCACAGTTCTTTATGATTTGTGCCAATCCTAAAACATACAGTGGCCTTCCTGAAAATACATATAATGCATTATTTTGTATAGGGTCTTCCATACATTCTCTCTTAAAAGGCTTTACATAATTAAAATATACAACTGCACAGTAAAAATAAAAAGTAAAAGGAAACATATTGACAGGTAATAGCAAGAGAAGAAATGTTTTTAGATTTTGAAAATAAATACAGCGTGAGGCCTATAGATACAATAAGCATGTTTCAGATGATTGGTGTTACAGAAAGCTCTTGCATCAACAGTGATAAGATTGTGAAGGTATATAGAGAACACTGGTGTTAGGTGAATGGGTGGAACAAAGAATGGAGCAGATAAAGAAAAGTCCAGAGGAAGGCTGTAGCAATATCTTTGAGGGAAAGGAAAGAAGCTTTGAAGTGATACCTGGAAAAAATACAGGAAGCCATTGGAGTAGTTTGAGGGTGTCAATGAGGTGATTGTGTGTTTGAATGGGTGAAAGGGAAGCTAGCAACATTCTACACCTGATGAAGTCTGAAGAGAGTCCATAGTTGCAAAGGGTTGTGAGAAGATTACTGGATGGATAAAGATTTCAGTAGAGGCAGAAACTGTTTGAGAGATGGTGATATGCAGATTTGCAGACAAATAGTTGGAAGTAAGAGAATTTGGGATTAAGGATGTTGCCAAATTTAAGGACAGTGGAGGTAACGGGTCAACAGGTAACAGGGGTAACATCTTTGAGCAGGGTTTTTTTTGTTTGTTTGTTTTTTTGAAAGAAAAAAATAAAATTTAGAGGGGGGAGGGATAGCTCTGTGGTTTGAGCATTGGCCTGCTAAACCCAGGGTTGTGAGTTCAACCTTGAGGGGGCCATTTAGGGGGCAGAAATTGGGGATTGGTCCTGCTTTGAGCGGGTGGTTGGACTAGATGACCTCCTGAGGTCCCTTCCAACCCTGATATTCTATGATTCTATGAATAGGAGATCAGCGTAAAGAAATGCAACGGTGTTCGGTTTAAAGATGCTTCTCTTGCCCTAGAGAAACGGTTCACTCTGATATGTAGCTGAAAGAAGTTAAAATAAAATCCCAGGTTTATTTGATCAAAACAGAGTGTTTGGACAGCAAGGTGCACTTTTTCATCAGAGGTGCACTTTCCATGAACAATGAAATACCAGCAGCGTAAAAGTGTTAGCTAAGGTCTTGCCTACACTTGAAAAGGTTTGCCAGTGTAGATATACCAGTAGCGCTATATTGGCAACACCTTCCAGCTTGTATCAGAAAGATAGTTCTTTAGCCATGATGGTTTAAACCAGTTCCTTGAGTGGAGTACCACTCCACTGTACCAGTTTATACAGTGGGCTTTTGCCAATGTAACTGTCTCGAATAGGGTGGGGAAAAATCATACCCCTGACCAATGTAGCTATGCCAGCAAAACTTTTAAGTGTAGATCAGGCCTAAGTTTAAAGTTAGAGACAAGATTAGAGAGAGAGAAAGTAGACAGAAAAGGCCAGAGGGCAAGGCCACAGGAGGAGAGAAGTCATCCCAGAAATAAAGGGCCTTTTAATAGACAAGAACAGAATAATTTGAGGAAGGAACCAAAGTTCGCTGGTTAGTTTAGAGGCTGTTCTGCACTCAAGGAGAATAGGGACAAAGAGCCACCTCCGTAGAGGAGGTTGTTGACTATATGCAACTGAAATTTCTCTTCCCTGTGACCAATGTACAAAATCTAGATTGAATACTGTCAGTGAGATTATTGTTTGAGCACTGACTGGAGAACTGAGAAATTGTTACTTTGTCAAGCACTTGCTGAGAAAAGTCAAATTAAAACTGGAGCAGTAGTTAGAGTGTTGTTGTCTAACTTGTTTCTTAAAAATCTCATTTAATCAGAGATATTAAGGAATGTATCAGAAGTAAAGGAATGGTGACTAAGAAGGGAACAAAGGAACACATTGAAGGCAAAATGATAGGCTAGAGAAGGAGACTGAGAGTTCCCTAAGGAGTAGTTTAATAAAGCAGGAGGAAGGAGAGGGAGAGAGAACCTAAATTCTACAGCAACATTTTGGGATTCTGTGGCACTCTGGTGTGGCAGACTGGACATTCAGTGGCAGTTTCATTTAAATTTTAAAAATGTAGGGTTTTAATTAGTTAAATCAATACAAGATCAGTACAATAGCCACTTTTATTTATTTTGAAATAAAATTCTATTTATTTTATACTGTCCTAACACTTGCAGTTTTTGAAATATGATAGTTCAGACTGAATAGAAGTTATAAGTGTGAATCTGGAGGTTTTGACAGTTGTGTAGGGGTCATTTGAGACTTTTTACACCTAGGGAGACATGGAAAACAGTTTGAGATTGTTGGGTAAGTACATTAGTTGGATGTTTCTGCTCCAATAATCAGCAGTTAAAATAGTTAACAGTGTTGACATCTAAATTATTATCCTAAGGTTTCAGAGTTCAAATGAGATGCACAGGGCCAATTCATGCCACACAGAGCTATTGTTTCAAGCTACAGAATGAGGAAGACAGCACTGCATTGGTTTACACTGAGACCATGTTTTCAAAGTTTTCTTTGCAATCACAAGGTTTAGAAAGTTAATTTTGTAGAAAAAAATAAAAATTTGGATTCTCTGTGCAAGGAATAGATTTCATGGTGAATTCTGTGGTCATAGAATACAGGGGAGCCTGGCTGTTGTAAATCAAATTTTGTCTTAAATCTACTTTGTCATTCTAAAAATCAGAAGAAGTACTTGAGCCTTCACCAATATGTTAAAAAAACCCTGATTTTGTATTTTTAAATATCACTGTTAATTTGTTCAGTGTTGTTAAATGCAACAAAAAATTTAAACTAAATGTAAAGAAACTGGAATCGGCCACCGTGCCTAATTGCTGTCATAATTTGTGAAATACTTCTTATTTTACAGACATGCATTCTGCATACCACAACATATTGCTGCTCATCTCACATTTTGCTTATTTCAGATACACGCACAATTTCCACTCTAGTGTGTGTATTCACAAAATATTGTTATCCGTTAAGACAAACCAAACACATTTTGTTCATTCTAGAAGCACAAGACTTTAAAAGATAATGCCACATGAACTGGAATATGTTTCTCATTTAATTTATACCAAAAGCTGTCTTCTCTTTTGAAATGTTATGTTGCTCACCTGAATGGGGTAGAGTTTTCTTTTATAAATTCCTGAACAATAAAGGAGTAGGTTAGAGTTTCAAGCTTACACTTTCCCCACGGGTGGCATTATTGTGCTCTATACTGTCACAGATTCAAGTATCTTATG